TATTGTGGGGTGCAAACGATGGAGCGACGATAGAGTGGAGAGAGCTGCCTGCAGTGTCTATTTTACTCTGCGCTTTGGATTGCGCGAGGCTTTTGCGTTGACTTGAGTCCAGTATTTCAGGACACGGCCCTTCGACCGGTCGAGAGAGAGAGCAGCAGTAAGTAGCGCGGGGCGTCGACGCTTCCGTCGCAATGTCGAGAGTCGACCCGATTAGTTTCAGCGATGGATTGCAGTTGTGCTGTACAGGCAGAATGCCGGCAGCGTCCTTCGCTCTGCAAGGCATCCAACGAACGACATCATCGCCCTGGTTGGCCGCTGTAACGAGGGAAGGCGTTGTGTGCGTCTCAACTAAAGATAGTGAGTGGCTAATGAAACTATGATCTTAACGTTGCCGCTTCTGCTCGGCAGAGAGGGCACTCCGAGCTAACCCCGAGCCAATCGATGACGCATTCCTCATGGAAGACGTGTGAGCACGGGAGTTTGACCACGTGCATGTTTGCGCATTCGTCTTCGTTCCACTCGCCCAGGCAGATGCTACAGCATTCGCTCGAACTTGCGTCCGTGTGAATCTGGATCAAATGAGTGAGAAGTGACGTGGACGAGGGCATTCGTTGTGGGGGGTGTACCTCGCTCGTGCTGCTGCCGACAACGACGTCTTCGAGCGCCAGGATCGCCAGAGTTTGCTTCGCGTGTTTGTGGAGCTGTTCGTCGGGAAACTGGAGAAATTCCTGAAGTAACATGTGCAGCGTGGCGAGGGGGCCGTGTAGTTTCACGTTGGGGGGAAAGCTGCACATGATTTTGACCAGCGCTTGAACAAACGTCTGGAGCGCCGTGCGCCGTTCGTGGATGATGGCAAGGTTGTCGCGGCGGAGGTGCCGCCGCGGGAACGCTGCTGACGTAGCGTCCGACACGAGCTTCACCGGGAGCCAGTGCGAATGCTGTCTGTGTGTCTGTTGGACGAGATGGCCGAGGGTGCGACGCAGGTTGTAAAAGTCCGAGTACCGTTTTGAGATCGTCCACTTGTTTTGCGTGCGGGGGAATGAAATGTCCATGTTGTAAAACGTGATCGCTGCGGTCGTGTGGCCGACGCGGCACACCTGCGTAATTTCGACCGTCGCCGACTCGAGAGATGCCTCCTGCGCCCGCTCCTGGCGCTGCGCCAATTTCGTCGCCATTTTGAGTTGATAAGTGATCGAAGTCGTCGGCGACGGCTCTATATTTGGAACAACTGGCGGACGTTGAGCGGCCATCGTCAGTGTGTCAAAGGGCACGTTGCCGTTGCTTCCATGTGGCTGCCCAAGCAATTGAAAATCTGGTCGGATTTGAAGTCGGAGGAAGCAGGTACTAGCGCCCCGAAGGACAGGGCGATGCCCTGCCCTCTTTTTTGAAAAAGGCCGCACCGGGCAAGCTCTTTGCGCCGTGGGTGCGAACCACAGTGTCTTCTTTACTTTGAAACACACAGACCAGGCCAGGACGTCCAAATTTTTTGGTTTTGCCCCCTCCCTCTCTCCTGCACGTGTGATTCTGTCAACATCTGCCTAGTCCACCACCACCACGAACAGTACAAAGCTTCGTCCACGACACTTTGATGCGGAATTGCCCGCTCCGCATCCACCAGCCAACTCCCCTCGGATCCCACGAGGTGTCCCAGGCAGTGCCAATTTGTCTCAAGTCCTGTCGCATGTCGACGACACCATTTGTTCTCGGAGTGTTCTGCCGGCGTCGTTTATTCATTTATAGGGTGTACCAGGGCTTCCTCCCCTACAAATATACATCGTGCAAACCTCTATAAACAAATTTGACCGTGCCGATCCGACGGAAAAAGATATAAAAAAACGTTGCGACATCAAGTGCAAATTTGTCATGTTTTCGCACCACGTTGTTGAAGCTACCGCCATGTTTCGAGAGCGGTGAAAATTCTCGGAAGTGCCCCAATTCTTCCAACAACTTTGTCGTGGGTCCATGAAATATGTGGACATAGCCTGTGAAATGTCCTCACAGTCAGGACAGGTGAGCATGTTTCCACAAACACAATCATACCTTCATCGTTCGCCCACTCGTGCGTGCACCTTCCAGAACGGCTTCGAATTCCAACTTAGCGTCGTAATGCATGTAATTTACTGTGTGAGCGTATCGCAACGGCTCATCGCGATCGTAGTACGAATTTCGCGAAGATCAAAAGTCGCAGCAGCGACCGCATGCACCCACTGCTGCACACTCGACATTCCTTGCGCTCGACAGAACGCTGGATGGTGCGAACTATGCACGATGCATCCTTGAGTACTTCTGCCAGGGAATTGCTGCCGCAGAGTTCGTTCGACTCAGATTCGCAGGAATTCAACGTGTCTCATGGGTCGCCAGACAGGAGCGACGGAAACATGTCACCAGATGGAGTGGCAAGAATTCTTGAAATTTGTAGTGGCAATAAAATTTCTCCGAACGAGAACAGACAGCATTTATATTCAAACGGTTTCTGGCGTTGAAGTGTCATATCCACAATGATTGGTCGAAAATACGACCACGACGAACCAGCACTCTAATACTTTTGAACACTACTAATGTTTCCAAACGGTGAAATATGCGTTCGATGCGGCAAGAAGACCAGGTTCACGTGAGCGAGTGATGGTTTCAGCGCAGTTTGACTATATGGCATATCATACATCTGCGTCATGTACCCTGACCCGTCGGGTTTCGAGCAGGAGCTCTACCGCGTGAGGTACTTTTGTACGGTTTGTGAAGTTGCTCTTGTTGCTGTATTAAATGCTCCAACGTTGGACGCTTTGCACACGATGTGGTTGGATTGCGACAAATCGTTACAACGAGAGCGAAGCGAGCAGGTTAAATGAATTACTAGTACTAGTATTCCATAGACAATCCAAGCTTTATGCTGCATGATATCATGTACTAGGACGTGAGATTTTTATCACCCATTGGCTAAAACTAACATAATTTCATTCTCCAGACGGAACGCTGCCACAATATTAATATAAAGAAAATGTGACGAAGCGATATGTTTCCGATGGCGCGCTGTAGCCGCCTAAACTCATGCGAAATTCGCAACACATGTCCATCATGGGTTGCCGACTCTACAGCCTTTGTCAATGCAAATTTTGTCCAGTGCCTTGAGACAAGCAGCAGCCACCGGCCGACCTGGTCATTGTGTGCGCGGTGCCATTTCCAAACCGTCTGCACTCCACGAAAGCCATGAGCCTCGTAACCTCCGCCCACGCCGCAACCACCGTTGTGTACACATTCGACCCTGCCACATCGGGCGGCGTCGCCGGCACCATCACGACCCTCGTCGGCGCTGCGTCCACCACGATCACGGCCGACCTCGACTTGACCAAAGCCAACTTTACTGCTCTGAAAGAGATGGATGA